CATAATAAGGAATCAAACAATACAGTAAGCCCACGGTTCAATACATTATCTTGGTTTTTTAACAGTTTTCGGTTCGGTTCAGTTCTCATGGCTTGACACCTGCTTGTTTTTTTTCTATAGGCAATAGGAACAGTAAGAGGTTAAGGAGAAAAAAAAATAAAAACGATTTATTTCAATACTCATTTTGTTTTACTTAAAAGCCAAGAAAAGTGCACTGGTTTCTAGTGTATTGAATAAAAAAACGAACACTGAAATCTCACAGCTGCTGGTTGCTCATGTACAAACTAGGAAACACATAAAATCCTGCACTTTAAAAAAATAAACATACATGTGAAGTTAATAAAGATGAATTGGCCATTAGAAATAAACATATTTGTACTTCAGTAAACATAAATAAACCATCTTCATTATCACGGTGCTGAAAAAATGCCAGACTGTAGTCTGTAACGCGGATCGAGTGCTTTTATAAGATGACAAAAGCCCACATCTCCAATCACCAAAAACGGCTGCAAATCTTCAGCAATAAACACTCGCACTGCCTTTGTTATTTAATGTGTCTCTCGGAACCCGTTGGGTTTGTTTGCTGGAAAGATTCAGCGATGGATTGTTGCTTACGGGCAAAACCGAAATGTCCTCACATCGCAGATTTAAAAGACGCCGGCGCTTCCTCGTACTGTTGCATTAACTTCACTTCGCCATGTTAAGGTGTGGAATGATGGTCAAGCGCCCCCTAACTTTAGAGCATAGTGATTGGATATTTACTCGTCGGGAAGAGTTTCCTCATCTCAGCTCATGGACTTACAGGCCCACATAATCAATTCGGGGAGATATAAAACATTTTTATATCTATAAATGCACACATATGTAAACCCTTTTTTTTTAGCATATTCAAACAAGAAGTATTAGCCTAAAGATTGATGTTTAACTCCTAGAATTTATGCTTATTGCTTTGTATTTAATAGACCTGTTCATTTTTGTGTTTATATTAACCTCTCATTTCCTCTTATTTCTCTCATGCATTTGTTATATATGTTATTCATAATTCTCCCTTATTGTTTAAAAAGGAACTACAGTTTGTAGAGACTGTGTTCTGTTTTATTTGTAAATGTTTTGTTGTTATAAATAAAAATAACAAAAAAATAAATAAATATGATGACGCCATGTGATCGGTCATCATGACTGCAGCAACTTTGAGTCCCGAAGTGTCCAGCTGTCCGTCTTGACGGCTCCGTTTTCAATTCCGCCCCCGCCTGCGCTCGGCTAATCTCGTTGATCACCGGCTGCAGCTGAGCTTCATGTCGAACGCACCTAGGCTGCGTCTGAAACCGCCTACTACTCAGTAGGTACTGCATTTGAATTTAAACGTACTACTCGGCCGTTAGAAAAGTACGCTCTATACAGTATGAATGTGAAAAGTATGAATGGAATTCGGACGTACTACATCCGCCATTTTGTCATTGTCACGTGACCTACCTGCGTCAATTGCATCGATTTACTCCCATTTATGAATTCGCTCGTGGGGCATCATAAGATAGCGCAGCGTGCATGGGATGCGCACTCCAGAATCTCGCCGGAAGTAGTAAGTCATCCGGGTACTTCTCGCATACTGATTTTCGAATTCTATGAATTCAGACATACTACTCGGCTCGCATACTGATTTTAGCGTACTATATAGTATGGAAGTATGCGGTTTCGGACGCAGCCCTAATCTCTCCAATGCGGCGATATTTGCAAACAAAACATATAGATCATTTTTATTATCATTTGACTGTAACGGAGGAACGCCGCGAAATGTAGTGAAGTAAGAGTAATGATTTCTCTCTTATAATTTACTTGAGTAAGAGTATACATTTTTAAACGTACTCAAAAAGTACACGTTACCCAACAAATTTACTCAAGTAAATGTAACGAAGTAAATTTAATTCGTTACTATCCACCTCTGCGTATATGTAGACATTTACGTGAAACATTAGATCATGAAAATTGACCTGAAATTTTTGTAGTAAATATGTGTATAAACCCTGAATCGGGGATATGCAAATTGATTTGACCATAATATCCAGGTTGTCATATGCTACAGACAGGAATATGATATATAGATATGTCCTCTGTTATGTGTGAACATGTATTTGTTGGATGTTTTTCCGCAGTGTCGTTCTCAGAGGTGCAGTCGTCTGCTGAAGGTTTGCCGTGTCTCTCAGATCTCGTCCCGAAGCCATCTCAAGCCCCGCCCCCTGTGAAGCCGTTACAGAGTGACAGCGCTGACATCAGTCACGTGAGGCCGCCGTCGCTCAAGCAGCCGCCAGCCTTACCGCCAAAGCCATACAGCAGAATCCCCAACCATCTCACAGGTGACACACACTCACCGCTGGCGGAGTCCGGCGCAAGCTGAAATATTTAAAAATCATGATTGCTATAGGTGGCTTAGTGGTTAGCACTGTCATCTCACAGCAAGAAGGTTGCTGGTTTGAGTCCCGGGTGGGTCGGTAGTCATTTCTGTGTGGAGTTTGCATGTTCTCCCCGTGTTGGCGTGGGTTTCCTCCGGGTGCTCCGGTTTCCCCCACAGTGCAAACACATGTGCTATAGGGGAATTGATGAACTAAATTGACCTTAGTGTATGAGTGTGTGTGTGTGTGAAAATGAGTGTGTATGGGTGGTTTCCCAGTACTGGGGTTGCAGCTGG